GTTACTATTCATGAGTGTGAGAGACTTTGTGGTAACCCTTGAGAACAAACCGGTGGTAGTGGCTGTGTGCTACCTTCGACCGTGGCTGTGTGCTACTTCGTTCCCTTTTTTCTCTCCTTTGCCTTTGTGGCTACTCTGTGGTTACAAAACTCTCCCACCATTCGAACAACCTGTGAAGGCAGAAAACAGGTGGAGCAACCGTTTGGCGTGTTGGGTGTTTGGGTTTTCTCTTGTGGTGTCGATTGGAGTATTCTGAGCCCGGTTTCTTCGTGCAAAGCTGGTGGTTTATCTTCACATATAAAAAAGAATTCTTATCTTTTAACCACACATTTTCCAAAAAAATAACTATTCGAAAATACATTTTTTTTAACCCAAAAGGGGAATGTATTATTTGGATATCACACGGTAAAATGTTACATGCTACAAACACACCAACACCAAATACATATCAAATGGTAAAATCATCTGAACTTTATTATTACATAGCTATAAAATTCTCTATCTATTATAATAAAGTTGCATACTGCTTCTCAATGCCAAGCACGAAATTCAGCCTGAGATTTAAGCCTGCAAAATATAATAACACATTAATCTCGACGCTAGCTTCCACGACGGTGCAGCCATTGTACAACATATTCTATGATGATTTTCAACAGTCGTGAAAAGACGACATTGGCATAATGGACCATATCGGTAAATCATTACATAAAAATCGTGCAAATTCGACGCATAAAAATGAAAGCCGGATATAATTTTTTACCTTAAAAGTAACTTTTGGCATCAAACTTTGAGAGCATCAATAGGCTTCTTCCCTTGCTGAAATAACTGGAAATAATTACCAGTGTAATCAATTATACTTTTGTATAATTTGGGATTTTTCTCATTAATAAGCCCTTCAGCTGGTTTAACTTCACTGGTTGGGTCAGGAGTGAAGAAAACAGCAATTGTCATCCTCTCTCTTTCTCGATTTGTTGCAACCCTATGAACCGGGCCCTTGAATATACCATTAGTCATTATCTGCAGGCATCATTAAAGGGTCGAAACGGTTGGTTCTTAGGTTATTCGAACGGATTAGTTTTTCATTTTTGACCTACAACTAGTTCTACCTTTTTTATGGTTGAACCGGCCAATTCGATCAAGTTCGATGACATTGAGAAAAAAAAAAAGAGTGAATAGACAAGTTCTACAATCTTATCTTACTTCTATATTAACAGGTTTGGCACACTGAATGAAAACGATTAAACAAACTTCCCTAAAAATTATGTGAAATTATGTGGTCTTCGTTTAGAGAAACACAAAGACTTATTTACCTCTACTTGCTCGCCAACGTTAACGACGATAGCATCCGGAACAATCCGAACTTTATACCATTTATCATCTTTAAGGACTTGAAGACCTTCAACTTCTTTATCTTGCAAGAGATAAGTCATTGCAGATGCATCTCCATGTGCTTTGGCTGCAAGAACAAGATCTGGTGTAGGGCATGGAGGATACAAGTTGAATCTCGCAATAGTTATTGGATTCTCTCCACACTGTTTTAGGAAACAGTCCTCTTCCAAACCCAGTGATTTTGCCATGGCCTTGAACACAATTTCATTAACATTCTCTAGTTTGGCTGTAAGGTCTAGCAAAATTTGCCTACAAAATTTTAAAATATAATTAAAAATAGTTAAAATAATAAAGGACAAAAATTATCACGAGGGTTTAATTTTAATCTCCTAAAAAGAGATAGGATGGCACAAGAACATGAATTCTAATTTTTTTTTTCCCCTTTTAGAATTTAGTTTTCTACAAAGTCTTGAAGTAATTAACTTTTAACCGTGGCTATAGAACATATTTGCTTATGCTCACGAAGAATTATTACCAAAGTTGTATAATTAGCTTGCTTATTTTAAAAAAATTCTTATATTACTATTCAATTAGTAACTTAGTTTTAAATTAAAAAGAGGAACATCTTAACTTAGTTCGATACAAGACTCTCTTAAGGCATGTTCGATACTATTTAGTTACCTTGCGTATAATTAACCAAGCTGTGAACATCGATACATGGGGCAAAATGGAGGCATTGACACAATTTGTGAATTATTGTATGTCTATAGACTAGTCGAGTGTACCAAACAATGTCGGAGGAATTAGAAATCCTTATTTTTTTTTCTTTTGGTCTGAATTACGAATAGTGTATCAAAGTGTCACTGTTGATAGATCAATAATCTTGGAATATTTACCTAAAATTTTTAGGGTTTTCAGGCCACACTTTCATCTTCCTCTTGTTGTCAGGTTTCACATTGAGCCACAATCTGTCATTCCAATCAAGTGTTTGGTTCTCAGAGTATACGGTGTCGTTTCCGTAGCCATCAATATCATCAGCATCTCTTGCATATTTCTTCTTCTCTTCCATCGGAAGTTTGAAAAATTTCCTGGTCACATCATGTACTTCATCAAGAAATGAAGTATCTATCCCATGATTTATTGCCTGAAAAACCAAAATTTTGCGTTATGAATTTCAATTAAACATTTAAAAATTAAATGCCTGAAAAACCAAAATTTTGTGTCATGAATTTCAATTAAACATTTAAAAATTAATATACCATGTCCATGTTAAAATTTGGGGTTTCATCTTAAAAGGTCAATCTCATTAAGAAAGGTAATCCAATTCTTTATAAGTTTGTTTATGTTTATATCTTTATTTAATGTGAGATTCTATCCCTTAACATGCTCCCCAAAATGGTGATTCGTTTGAGCAGACTAATCTTGAAATCTGTATGCTCACTTTTGGAGTCTTAACCAAATCGAATTGTTCGTTAGAATTTAATGGGCTCTGATATCATGTTAAGATTTGGGGTTCCATCTTAAAAGGTCAATCTTATTAAAAGGAGTAATCAAATTCTTTATAAGTTGGTTTATATTTACATCTTTATTTGATGTGTGATTCTATCCCTTAACAACCCAAATAATAAAAAAGAGTAATGTTATGTACCCAACAGTCGAGTTCAAAGGCCATGCATTTACGTAGTAGCTAGGTAGTTTGTCGACTCCATTGCCACCTAGACTGCTTACATCTAGAGAATCAATTGGCAAAAAATCGACAAGCGGACGATTGAATGATGAATCCAATTTAGTCTAGGTTCTATCAAGTCATATTTTGTGTTACACACACGAATATGGCAGTGATCAAATTGGGACAAAATTTAGTTTACGAAAAGTTTACTAACCTGAAAGTAGCCACAGGAGCTAAAACCAAGTCTTAGTTTTCTGAGTTCTTCTTCAGCTTCAGGTGTTGAAGAATTCAGAAGACTAAGATCAAGAATTGGAATATCAAAATATGGAAGCTCAGAGCCTCCAAGGCCTTCTTTGCGGATATATTTTTCCGGCGGTGCACTGGTGTTCATGGCCAGTTCTTCGACTGCTTTGTGACGTGAAGGGCCGGTGGTGGCGGAAGCGACGGCAAACATTTCCTTTCTTTTTTATGGTGAAAAATGGGCAAGTAATTGCAGACAACGAGAGGGCATGGGGATTATATAGGTATGATTAGACTGTATAGTACCCCACATAAAAATGTACATAATATTATTTGTTTGAATTAATCTAATCAAACAGGGAACTTTGACTGGAAAAATTGATAGGGACACGTGGCAAACTGTGATTCTCCTTTTATTTTTTAAAAAATCATGGAATTTTCCATATGTACATAAACATTTTACATACCCTCACATGAGGTCCCATGTGGGACCGATCAGTGGGGGTTCAGTAACACCCACTTCTGTACATACAGCAGAGCCCAAAAATTTTTTCTCATTTCGTGAATGACTGCCAGTGCCCCCTTTTAATTTTTCGTGTTAGAGTAGTATGGTTCTTATTTGTTGGGTAAAATTTCGTAAGCATACGTGATCGTTGACAAGTAATAAAATTGATGAGTTAAGGGTATCGTCACACATGAAATAAATTTCAATTCAAGTTTACTAGTTATGTATAAAATTCTAATTATTTAAAATAAAATAGATTTTGATTTTATTTTATGCAAAATTATAGACAATTGATAAAGTTAATGTATTTAACTTTCTGTTTCAAGACAAATTAATTATATTCTAACGACGACTCGAATCTATTCTGGCCTGAATTCGAATGGTAAGAACGCATTAAATTTTAGATTATCTATATGATTGTACAAATGATAAATGTTATTCCTAATATCTATTGTAAATAAGTTAATTTTATCGTGTTCTAATCTTATTGTAAGTCTTCTAATACTACAACAAGCAACTAATTATATAATTGATATCCAATCAATTAAATAATGCAACGGGTATGAAAAATTAATCAAAATTTGAAAGAATTAAATTAAAGTACTAGTTTTGAATTTAAAATAAATAAACAATAGGGTTCATCTCATCCAATACAGAAAAATGAGATCTAGCCTAGCATGGTTTTAAATAAAGGGCTTTGCTAGATGTACATTATGGTGTACGTAAGGGTGTCCGTAATGGACACCCGACACCACCCTATTGAATGGAGTGCCTATGGGGACAGGTGAAGCCGTGAAGGGTTTGGGAGATTTGGGTTTCATTTTATATAAATTGGGTTTTGCATTTTCAATTGGGCATTGAACAGTGGGATGATGGCCTTGATTTGTGGAAAGAAATGGGGGGAAATTACCTCAAAACCTACATTTAAAGATAACATTTCAAAAAGAAAGGGATTAAGTTTTATTTTCACAAATCAGGTGTTAAATAGAATTATTAACTGTAATTAATAGATCATTCATCCCCAAACCCACTTCTTATTTTCACTCCCTCTCTTCCTCACTCGTGTTTCTTATCTTTCACTCATCTTCAATGGCGACATCTCTTCACCAGCGAAGGCGTCTGGTGCTTTTTCATCATTTTCCTCTTCATCCAACCCTAATAATCTGCCCCAATCGAAATGTACAAAAAATATTTTGTAAAGATTCCCGAAGTCGAAGCCAAGCGCGATAGCCGAAAGAAGGAAGATCAGTACTGGCCCAAAGTCGAAGGGGCTAAGTCACGCAGCGTGAGGATGAAGCTTAGAAGAAAGTTGAGATCACCACTAAAAAGGTCAAGGCGCGCTGCTTGGCTGAACAGGAACAGAAGGAGCTCGAAAAGAGCAGGAAAAAGGTCGATAAGAAGGCGAATCGAGTTTTTTGTCCAGAGGGAGTTGGATTAGGCTGCTCTGCTGAAGTGGATCGAAGAGGAGAAGGAGAAGTGGCTGGGACTGTGGAAGATGATGGTGGTGGTGAGGTGGTAGTGATTGTTGGTTGTTTACTGGTGAAGGAGGTTGTTGGTGGGTTGCAAAATGGTAGAGATGTGTTTCTGTTGATTGTGGTGGTGGTTCGATTGCCGAAAGTTCTAGTTCTGGATCGGAGTTGGTGGTGTCGGGAACCTTTTTTTATCTATGACCAGATTACTATTTGACTACCGGTTAGTTCGTTGTAACCGATTGTAACCTTTTGTAACCGATTGTGACCAGTTAATTGTGACTCATTGTAACCGATTGTGACTTGAACTTTTGGATATTTTTTCGAAGTTGGGAATGGGTGGATGGGGTGGGTAGGTTGATCGGAGCATGCGTTGGAGTGGTCATTGGAGCATATTGTTAGAGGGATCGTGAATAACCGCCGGAGAGAGTGTCGAGGTGAATGTCGGAATAGTCATCGGAGCGTCGTCGGAACTGTTGCTGGAGCGACCGTCGAAGTAGATGGCTGCCCCCGATGGAGAGAAGGGGTAGGGAGATGATAGAGAGTAGAGAGAGAGAATGATTTGGATTTGAAATTTAATAAATTGAGATAATTGTATTATATTATAATTAAAAATATTTAATTAATTGACTTAACACCTGATTTTTTAAAAGATTTTTGAAGTTTGTTATTTTTTAAATGTAATTTTTATATATAAGATTTATGTATTGTTCCCATTTATAAATAGGGTCTAATGATTTTTGAAAAGATTTTTGAAATGTAATTCTTATATATAGGATTTATGTATTGTTCCCAACAAATAGGCTATAAAAAATATTTAAAAAAAAAAATTTAATGCATTAAAAAAAAAAATTTAATGCACGTGAGCTTGAATTTTAAAATGTAAGTTATTGAGTCAATATTTATTAATGGAAAAAAAATTTTAAAATTTTGCGAGGAGAGTCAAAATTCTTGGGGGGAGGGGGGGGACTGAAAAATACATTACAAATTAATTAGGAATAGTGGACCATCAGACAATGTTAGGGGCCATCACCCCCCCTGCCCCCTAGGCCCTATCTCCGTCTTTGCGTGGGAAATAATAGATTATTATGCATAATTATGAATGGAAAGGGTGGTGATATTCCTTTTATCTTTCCTTTTTCTATTTATTTGAACAAATTAAAATTAAAGAGTGTAGTGGTAATTTTCATAGAAAGATGACTTTTGAATGGTTAAATTGGTAGAATCCGCGTTGAGGACTTACTTAAAACCTTATAAAAATGTCATGGCCCAAAAAAAATCACAACAAAACCATTGACAGGTGACCACAATTATCCAATTTTTAATTAAAATTTATTATGGTATTTAATTTAATAATCCACTAAACCATTCACGTGTGGAAACCGAAAACTATTATCCATCCAAAATAATATAGAATAGGTTGGTGAGATGAAGTAAAAGTTGATGGCTGTTTTATAATCAAATTGTAATAAAAATTCAATGGAAGGATAAGAAAGTTACATATGAAAATGTAATTTTGGCCACTTTGTGATGTAATAAGAATTTTTAGTCTACCATACATGTCATGGAACAAACAAGATACCGGAATTTCTTTGATATTAGTTTGTTGTAATTCAGATCGAGATTCTATGGCAAAATATGAAATATTTGATCGCAAGCAAAAGAATAAGAAAAGATAAGAAAAATATAACAAATAAATTGGGAGATTTTATTGAATCAATAATAATGAAGAAATATACAAATTGTGTTTCTCACAATGAATCTAAAGTTCTAATAATCTCTAAAGTTAAACTACCCTCTTACTAAATTGTAGAGAAGAGATCAAGTATAGATAGGGAACATGTAGGGGGACGTCCAAACCCTTATAATAGAGTTGTAATTGAAGTAGAATGCTAAAAACGTGTTAAAAAGTGAAACGGGTCTTGGCCGAATAAACTCTTTCACTCTAGTGACAAGCTAGCGGTAGGCGGGAGACAGCTCTGGAAAAAATCAGTAGTTCTTTGTGGTATAATTTTTTTTTTTTTTTTTTGGCCTTTTTAAATTGAAAAGTGGGGCAGGAGGCTTTGAACACATAACATTAGCGTTTTTAAAGTTGACAGATTTTTTCACTTTGAATTTCATTATTATTGATGTAAGGAAAGGAATGAGACTCTGAATTTGATTATATAGAACTATGAAGGTGATGAGGGGGAAAAAAACCTCAATTTCAGAAGTTCAGATAAATAATTTGGTAAATTCAATTAAGTAGTAGAAAACATCGCTTATATTGTTTAAATTAAGAAAAATAAAATTTTTATTGATTTTTTTTTTTTTTATCCGAGTTGAATCAAGTACCGTATGACCTACAAAGGTTATAGTCCGAATTATAACATTTTTCTTACTTATATTTTTCACATCTGAAATGTTAAAATTATTTTTTGTATTTAGTTTGAAAAATAAAACAATAAATTGTTCTTGTTTCGTTTGTATCTCCTGATTTAATAAAATATTTTTTAATTTTTATTTTTTACACTAGTAACGTTTATAATATGATAAACCTAAATAAAAAGTAAGGCACTCCTACTTTAATACCAAAAAACGTACTGTTCAAATTGAATTTATTTATTTAATTTTTTACTTAAAATAAGAAATCTTTTTTTTTTTTTTTGAAGTTAAGTTCGATTTAAATATTATTGAGATGTAATCACTTTGATCAAGATGAGAAGAAAGAATTAATTCCATTTTAAGCTAAAAACAATGTTGTAATTTAAATAAAAACAAGACAAAGATGGACATCACGTTACTATATTCCGAAAAACTTGCTATTGAATAAAAAAAAATTCGTTCTAGAAGCCGGTTTAATCCCTGCGCTTGATTTTTCACTTGACCTTTATCATATTGAAATTTTTATACACGTCTTTTTCCTCGTTGCCTTCTAACCATCCCTCTCCGATATATAAAACACTTCAAAGGCATGTTTGACATGATTTTTGCTTTCTATAGAAGAGTTTTTGAAAGAAATAATCTTAATTTTTGTTTAAAAATTAATTTTTAAAAGCTTCCTTTAAAAACTCTTCTATGGCAAAATCACTTTTATAAAATTAGTCAAACATGTCCCAAAACTGTTTTTAGGCTTCAAAAACTCTTTTTGACTTTTCAAAAGTCATGTGGGTCAATTATCCCAATAGTCACTAAACTTTACCGAAAGTTTCCCCCAAGTCACTGAACTTTAAAAACTACGTGGTTACTCACTGAACTTTC